GGAGGTTAGACTTTTATGAGGTCACCTCTCTCTCTCTCTAACCCCTAGGAGTAACTAGGGTTTGGTTAAATTTGTACTGAAAAGAAAGTTTTCTTTTTTTCTTTTATATGTTACTCTCCAAATCTTTCATATTTTGAAATTAGTCCCCCTAATTTGTTCTCAAAAAAAATTTAATGTGATATGAAATTAGTTCTTTTACTTAAGAAAATTTTCCGTTGTATTTAACATTTTTAGATGTAGTGTCGCTTAGAATATTTAAATATATTTATATGTTATCGGTATTTAACTATGCGTTATTTGACGTTATTTTGCCGCAATAACCTTAAATAGTCTTAGTGGTAGCTCGCCGCGACGCGACGCTATCCGCTATCAACAACCTTGTACGGGTTGAAGGCTGAAAGCGAGGGAGCAATTGTGCTTCAGCCTTGAGCGCTAGGTTATAGACCTCATCATGTCTTCAAACAATATGTAGAGCTAGTTTATCTTGAATCAAGTTCTTTAAGTCATTCTTATAACAAGAAACTTGTTGGGATTCAAACTCGTTTAGGTCATTTCTGCTCGACAAAGTAAGGAATTTAGTAGTATATTCATGAACAGAACACATATCTTAGCGACAATTCTAGAACTGAGTGAGTAAGATCTGCTCACAATCTACAAGCAAGAATCTCGATTGCAACTCCCTTTCCATGCGACGCTAAGTACGAATTGCTGGTTTGTATTGGCGAGTCCGATTAACCTGGAGTTAATATTACCATATTGTAGCTCCACCTTGCAACTTGTAAGCCACCAAAGAAACTTGCTTTCCTTCCGCGATTGAAACTCAAAAAACTTCTCAATCTAGTGAAGCCAATCAAGGAACTCTATAATGTCGAGGTTACCCCAAAAGCAGGGAAGATCCTTTAACCCAACGTAGTAATTGGGACCATGTCTCCCTTCACCAAAGGCAACATCTGCATCAAACACTCCAAAATCCTCCAGATCTAAATTCTCACCGTCTTGATTTCGACGCTAAGCACGAACACCAACCCTAGCGGGTCGATCATAGGGAACATCTAAGGCGTGCACCTCGTCATTGACTTCATTTTGGTTCTCTCTATTTATGACGGTATTCAAGTTCCCTCATTGCCATGACGATTTCTTCAACACATCGATCTCGGGCGTCAACTCACTGTACAAGATCATTGGGTGGGTGATTAACTTTGTTATCGTTAGTGACCATAGCAGAAAACAATGTGTCCCTGAATACCAACTGATGTAGCGGAAGCATAATCAAAAGAGATAACTACTCGTTCTCGTAAGAGCAAAACGACACAAATCGTAGGAAACCCTAGGAATAGAAAACTTCCGAAATAATAATAACTAATCTAAATAGTTTACAAATTCGTTCACCTTATATAGGGTATAAAACAAAACAAAAGTATAGAATAATTTTTCCTAAAGCAATTAGATTTCCTATAAATAAAAAATGTTTCATAAGAATTCGATACTAGATTAGACCAAAATTCTTATACGCGCAGTTTGAGCCTAAAGATGATTTTCATTGACCCTGAAACTCGATTGTAATGGCAAAGCAGTTCGACTTGTAGAGCGCTTCCCTAGCTTTCCGAAAATATATAGTAATAGCGATTCTATGGTGGGAATCAAAATTTATGGTCCATTGAAGTTGGAGGTCGAAGTCTGGCCGAAAATCATCCTTTTTTCTTGGATTGCCCAGGCTTCGCACGGTCCGATTTCTCCCAAAAGGCATCAACAATCGCCTCCGCATCAACGTCTTGTGTGCTTACTCAAGCATGCTCTCAATTAAACAATACATGTTTTAGTTTATGATACTTGTAGAATTCTTGAATTCATATTCCAGACTTGTCACATACTTTGTTATTTGTATTACATGTTTGATATATACACTATTTTATTTATACATCAAAGACTATCTTAATGAAAAAAATGAGCCAAATATGATGAGTTTAGTTGTGTTTAGCTATGTGTATAAAGTTGAAGAGCTAGTTCAATCTTCCTTTTTGAAAAGTCATAAAAATATATTAAAGGTCAAAAATTTATCATCTAATATAATATATTTCTAATAACATATATGTGTGTGTGTGTGTGTGTGTGTGTGTGTGTGTATATATATATATATATATATATATATATATATATATAGGTAAAAGCTTATGTCAACTTAAATATATTAGAAATTATTGTTTAGAATCTTGAGCGCATGAGCATATGCATGCATGCAAACCCTCTTTATTGTCATATCTTGTTAATATATATTATATGCTTTTCTTTGTATAGACTACTTTAGTCCCATATTGCCTGGGATATCAAGCCACCCTTGTATATATTACCCTCAGCATCATGAGAAATATATCAACTTCTCCTGAAGCTCTACATTTGGCATATACGTAGTCGTTATTAGAAATAATTGGTAGCTCGTTTCGGTAAATGAACTGCGAGCTCATACTATAATGCCTGATACACAGAGAGCATACATTATGTTTTTCTTTTCACATTTCTGATATCTAATTCATCACCGTATCTGCCATATAATATTTTAGAGGACACCGGATCCACTATAAGAAACAACCTTTCAGCAATCCTAATTGATTTCATGGTCATAGGTGGAAGTACTTTGGTCGAAACATGTTCTGGTTAGCTGTAATTGGTGGTGGATTGATGGTACTTCATGCTGTCCTTCTTTTGATATCGAAACTTAAAAGGAAGAAATCAGAGGAACAAAAGGAGTTCGGAGCACTTGTGTTCCCCAGATTTGAAATATTTTTGCTAATTCTTGCTCTCCCTTGTATCTGCCAGGCATCAGCAGCGATTATCAAAGGTAATTTCTATTACAATGTCTGTTTTCTCTGTACAAAGCCTTGTTCTCTTTACCTTTATATATATTTCCCTAATTGTAGACTAAGGATACCTCAAATACTCCGTACTTTCAAGGATTTCGCCAAGAAAATATGTACCTGTTTACTGAAAGCAGGAATTTCCTGTAGAAAGATCAGGGTTTCTAAAGTTGGATCCTCACACCCAGATGCAAACCTTATTACAGATTGAAAGTAAAATGTTAAGTCTGTTCTCATCCACAAATTAGTGTCTTCAACGGGGTAAAGACAATGTATGTCTCTTCACCAGTGCAACTATCAAGCTGCAACTCCAACCAGACGAGATTATAGTAGACCTTCATCAATTGTTATGATCGAAATAAAACCTTTTCCATCTAGCTAACTTTAAAATCTTCACTTAGTGGAAGTGTTCACAAAGGACTTATAACGCAAACCCATAACTCCAATATCTTAACTGTTCGAATGTAAAACTATAACCCGGAACCTCACCACAACATTGAAGTTTTGATGCAGTGGTACTGTGGTAGGGACATTTAACATAGTACCAGATCAACCTAACTTGGAATCTTATTGGCCACAAATTTGTGAAGCAGATTATTAAAAAAAAGGATATTGCTCCGTGGGTCCAGATTTCGGCTCACTTTGGGCACTCAACGTGTGGGGGAATTGTTAAGAGTATAGAAAACCCTCCACTCTCACCACGAATTTTGAGTTTTGATGTAGTGGCGGGGACCTTCAACATTTAAAGTTGCTCAATGTGCTTGCATTTACCGTATGAAAAATACGCGATAATTTTCCTCTTCTCTATTGAAGGGAGAAGCACAGCAGGGATTGCAGTTGGAGTCATCCTCTTTGGCATCTCAGCCTTCCTCCTCCTCTCCCTTCTCCTGTTCCTTTCCATCGGCATCACCTTTGGCAAGCTCCTGCACTATAAAGAAGTCCATCAAGAAGGCCAGCTGCCTCCTTGGTTCCAGGAACTCGTCCGAATCTCTCTAGGCCCAGGTAAACGAGGCCAATGGACATGGAAAAATCAGCCCAACTCCACCAATCTAACCCGCTTCGGCCCATTGTTTGAGGATCTCCGGGGCCCACCAAAGTACATGCTCTCACAATTCTCCGGTGGGCCTGCCTCCGGCGATCGCATCATCGCCTCTGATGACGAGACAGAGGACGCAGAAGCCCCATTCATACAAAAACTCTTTGGCATTCTAAGAATATACTACACATTTTTAGAGACTTTAAAGCGAGTCTCTCTTGGAATCATTGCAGGAATTCATTCCACAGGTTACCAACAGACTTCAAGAACATCGACACTCATCATCCTCTCGATCTCAGCATTCCAGTTATTCTTCCTTGTGTTAAAGAAGCCTTTCATAAAGAAAAGGGTGCAGTTCGTAGAGATAGTCACTGTAGTAAGCGAATTGTTCGTATTTGCTGCCAGTTTAGTTATCTTGGAGCACGATTTCTCAGAATCTGGCGAGAAAACGTTAGGGTTCGTGATGTTGGGAGCTTTTATTATCAGTTTTGTGACCCAATTGATCAATGAGTGGTACTCTTTGTACTCGCAAGTTGTTCGGTTGAGCCCAAGTGATGCTAAGTTTATTACAGGGCTAAAGACTGCAGTCATCGGTATTCTGTTCTTTGTTCTTCCTTCAAGGGTAGTATCAGAATTGAGCCGAGAATTGTATGAAGGAAAAAGCCCAGGTACAGGAACAAGCACGGGCGAGAAACCGTGGATGAGGCAATTGAGAGAGCTAGCGAAGGAGAGTTTCAGTAAAGAAGAAGAGTGGACGGTTGGAGTAAAGGATCCTTCCAGTAGTAAAAGTGGGTTTTGGAGCAGAATGGATCCGTCGACAAGCAAGAGCGGGTTTTGGAGCGGGAATAGGAGTGGGAGCTCGTCAGTGACTTCATCGTCGGACTTCAAGTCGAAGGGAGATTTGAAGACAAAGTCTAAAGGGTTATATAAAGATTTGGAGGCTATTTTCTCTTCCAAGTGATTTTAGTAGTTACCTGAACTAACCAACTTTTGAATGTAAATGGGCAGTAGAATTGTTTAGGTTTGTGATCAGTGGGTGTTTGTGAGTTTTTGAGGAGGTCGTTCTCGTGTTTTGCTTGACCATTTGATCAATTGAGAGTTCTCATGGTTTTAGATAGTTTGTGTTGTGACTGACTGGTCAAAGTTGCCATGTGTTATTTTCAGGGCGAGATATGGCTATTGAATTTGGAGCTTCAACAAATTTTCAAAATTTTGCAATATTTAAGAGTTTTTTATTTAGGGTAAATTGTACGAAGCACCCCAGTAGTATCGCTGAGTTGAACCTACTTCTCCTTATTTTCATTGTTGTGTATAGATACCCTGGATTAAATCTGTTTGACTCTTTTAAGTTTTTCCCTTGTTGTAATTTTTGCAGATATTACTAATACCTGGGGTGAAATTAGTGAGATAAATTGAGAGTAAGACGGTCAAAAGAATGAAATTAGTGAGTTTACTTGTGAGTAAGAGAGTCAAAAAAATTTACCCCAACGGTTATTATATCTGCAACGATGAACTGACAAGGGTAGTAAGTTCAAAACAGTGACACTGTTGGGGGTCTATGTTTAATTAACCTTTTTATTTTATAGCATCATGTATTAAGTTCAAAACAGTGACACTGTTGGGGGTCTATATTTAATTAACCTTTTTATTTTATAGCATCATGTATCACAGTAACTGGGCCAATTTTCGTTTGGTTCGTACAGCTGACAGATGTCGTACTGGCAGATATGGGTTCTCTCTAAGTTGGTGATCATTAGAGAGTCCAACGGCTAAATTGCACTTAAATAAAAGTTTCACCATCTTTTTACTTAAATACATTAAGTTATAAAAAAAGTATCGTTTTAATATCTTAAGTTGTTAAACAGTGACACATTAGTATCTTTAAGTAGTTATCATGAAAATATTCTTAGAAATATGTCTTGACAACTAACAGAAGATAATAAAGTATTATTTTTTTTATAACTTAGGCTATTAAAATGCTATTTTCTTACAACTTAGGATATTAGAGTGCTAATTGTTGCAACTTTGAATATTTAAGTGTAAATGTGATGAAATAATAGGGTATTAAATATCATTTTTTACAAATTAAGATATTAAAGTGCTATTTTTTTACAACTTAGGATATCAAAGTGCTATTTTTTATAATTTAGAATATATAAATATAAATGTGGTGAAACAATAGGGTACTTAAGTGCCATTTAGCCGTCCAATTATTTGAATCCTCACGATGTACTCAAATTTTAATGAAGAAGACAATGCCATGTAGAATTTATATGAACACAATAATGGATTTTGTAATAGAGGGTTTTAAGACAATGAGGTTTTAATTAGGGTTTGACAGGCGTTGCTGGCTTAGGGTTGAGCTTGGGTTGGACTGGGCCTGGCCCATAAACCGGCCCAGCCGAATGTATGATCGGGCCAGTTCTAAACCAGATTCGTGTGGGCCTGAATGGGCTGGACTGAGATCTTTGGTCCCTGGGGCTGGACCTAGACCTGCCTACGGTCGCGCCGGGTCGGTTTGGTCCGCGGGTTGTTTAATTTATTTTTTTCAAGTTTTTTTCTTTTTAATCGATACCATACTCGTACTTATATTTATAAAATTATACTTAATTTAATTTTTTACTATTTAAACTATTTATTTAAATTATATATATATAGATGATCCGCTAATATATAGAGTAAAACTCCTAGCGTTATAAGTCCTTTATTTAAATTTATTTTTTACTTATATCGATACCATACTCGTACTTATATATTTAAATTATATATATAGAGTAAAACTCCTATCAACTTAAGTGGACGTCCACTAAGTTTCTTATCCATTGATGATTACTTGATTGAGCTACATTGTAGATGATCCGCTCCGTTGAACTTGATCTATATATTCTAAAACCCCAACACACCAAATTTGGGGTGAACCTGTTGTGGTTTGACCCTTCATCCACTCGTATCAATTTTAACGGTTTCGAATGAATAGAACTTTTTACATGGCTCGACGGAGGGTCAAACAACGAATATATATATATAGAGAGAGAGAGAGAGAGAGAGAGAGAGAGAGAGAGAGAAAGACTCCTATCAACTTAAGTTAATATCCATCAAACTTCCTAGCCACTCATTTATTAATATAAAAAAATCTTTTATATCATGCAAGGATCCCTAGGTAATATGAGTGGCTAAAAAGCTTGGTGAACAACTTTTTGCTATCCACTTAAGTTGACACGAGTTTTGCTCTATACGTGTGTGTTATGTATCTATATTGCGTAAAAATGAACATCACACGAAAAAAAAAACATCACAAACACTTATGTGTGGAGCCAATCCTTTAAGTACATACACATCTGTGCCCCCCAAGTTGGTTTGAGCTGTTTTCATATATTTAGACTTCAATGAATATTAAAATTAGGCTTGACTAAAGATTTTATTAAAAAAATTAATTACAGCGAATCTATGCGGTCCAGGCTATTATTGGGTCGGGCCTAGTGTGGCCTGGTCTTACTCTTCTGATCTCGGATCTAGGGCTAGACGTAGCCTGACTCATGAACCGAATGGTTCGCGGGTTGGATTTAGTCCGGCCTATTGTGGGTCGAGTCGTGTTTTGGCCCTATGTCGATTGGGATTGCACCCCTACTCATATCAAATAAATAAGCGATAACCATATTAGGGTTTATCTGACCGGCCCCACCTACGGGTAGAGATCATCTACATCCTTAGCTATAGAGAACATTTACAAGTCATCAATCATAGCTCCTACTTAGCAAACTCATGAATGATATTTATTCTATGTATTTTATAAAAAATTTAATTATGGACGTGTAGAATCCTTGCGCCCCCTACTACAACTTGTAATTAAAATAGTAATTCCTTGTTCCCACTTTTGTTATTGTCTCTCTCGTAAGAAGTAATGGGTCAATTCCTAATGTATCTTAAATTAGGTTTACGCGACTTTTGATTATGAGATCCACCGACCTCGACATTAACAAGTGCAGAGCCAGCGTTAAATTGTTTCTTATACTAATTATATTGCAACTTGTATGCATTGGAGACAAAATTTTACTTTTATAAAGTTATATAATCATCCATCTGTTCTAGGGGCAGGTAATAATCGTTCTAAAAATAACTACTATTGACGGATTTGTATTTCTTGAAACATAGATATCACTGAAATTACATGAATATATTACCCAGCTCACAAATACTCAATAATTTTGGATTGGGCTCTAGACCACTGGTAATTATAAACCCATCATTCCAAAATCACCACTCTACTTTCAGTCATATAAGCATTAGAAATGATAGAGGCACACCTTTCTGCCACACCTCCAACCACACCATTTCTCTCGCTACAGTGCACCGGGCCCACATGAGATTTTATTAAATAAAATCTCATGTGGGCCCTGTGCACTATAGCGAGAGAGATGGTGTGGTTGGAGGTGTGATAGAGGGTGTGCCTCTAGTGCCTCTCTATAAGCATTTTCCATCTTTTTTATCCGGAATAATTTATTTGTATCCTAACGGTACTTATTCCCCGACTTGTTCCCATCAATGTTTACTTTTCGATAGCACTTCTTACATTTGATCAAATCTTAAGCATGTATCTACTAATCTATTTCTCTATAATAACGGGAGGATTCAAGATTTACTATTCATGCTATACTAAATACTACATTTAAAGTATTGTTGCATTGTAACTACAACACAAACAGGATGATCCAAGATTCATTATTCATACTACAATAAGTTATTGTAGCATTATTATTGTAGCGCATGCGAGAACTATAATGTTTAAAAACATTATCGTAGCATTATTACTGTAGTTCAGGCGGGAGACTATAGCATTTAAAACATGTTATTGTAGCACTTGCAAAAACTATATTTTGATACAGAATTACTGTAGCAGAAATACGACGGTAAAAACACTTGTTATGGTGTTCACTCACCCAAGATACGGATATTTGCAAAATGAAACGATAAGAGTCCTGGCAAAACAAACTCAACCATTTGGCCGACTCCCACAGTCGTCTCTCTGCCTTAGGAGAAGGAAAGCCCTAGTCAACTCTCAAGAGTTCTAGGCATTCGACTCATCAGTCGAATTTCAATCCCTTGGTATATTTTCAGGGGTAAACCCAAGGCACAACGACTCTTCAGTCGAATTTCAAGCCCTTGGCTCTTTATCAAGGTAAGCGCAAGGCAAAACATATGGTCGAACCCTCCAGTCTAACTGGGCCATCATGGCTAATTACAAGACCTTGGTACCTTATCAGTGATAAACCCAAGGCACAATCACAGAGGCCTCGGCCCCACCGACTCATCAAGCCGACTCTCTGGTGTCGACACCAAAGGTGATATTGGTCGGCACGATGGATCCTGGCCTCCCAGACGAGTCGACATCTTTATATCGACTCGAGTGACGGTTATTAGCTGAGACGAGATGACATTCCAACCAGTCAGATAGGCTGATACTCCTGAATCGACGTGAAAAGCAGTATTGGTCGACCCTATCATCAAGGGCGACCCTACTTAGGGCACTCGACCACTCACTGGGCAATTCTCAGAAACAACTGGAGGGGCATTCCCTGCTACCAATTAAGTTGATAACTCGGCCTCAGCCCTAAGCCTCTATCCCAGAGCATATGTCGACACCTCACTCCACCTCAGAAAAGTCTTATCTAAATTTTGGTCTGATAGGTCTCCATGACTTGTCAGCTCAATCACTTCCAGAAAAATGCGGAGACACCCTCTCCCATGCCGAAGTGACTTCCAAAGCGAGGGATGATTCGGTATGCCCATATTCCTTCTGCCACGCTATCAATCATTTCCCAAAAAATACGGAGACACCCTCTCCCGTGACGAAGTGACTTCCGCTCTTGTCGTCAGTCGACACATGTAGAGCAAAGGATGACTCACCTTCCAGCTCACACTTGGTCACCATCATTTTGCATGGCCGAGGTGACCAATCTGTGAACGGATACCCTCTTTATATAGAAATGCTATTCGCCATAGCGACCAGGTTCGATTCGCAATCTAAACCCCCTAAAGCATACATGGCACAAGGACAAGAACACATAGTTCTTTGTCTAGACAGAGGAGCTCATGTAGATCCTCTGGGCAAAGACATTGCCACCTTAAGAACCACATCGGCTCTTGACCTTCCGCTTCCCCACTCGAGTTTTACTAACTTGACCGTCGGGAGGAACCACGGGGGAATCGGCCCCGCCCTCTCACAGATTCTTCTTGTTTGTGTAGCGTGGACATCAAGCCCTCGTTCAAAAAACAGGCATAAAGTCGAAGAAGGGAGTGGCCCCTCCATCATCCTTCATCACTCTGCAACCATCCTCTTCTAGATTATTCTGTTTGATATTGAGCATCAACAATACTGTAGCTTCGTTACTGTAGCACAAACATGAGGATCTAAGATTTACTATTCATGCACACAATAAGTACTGTAACATTATTACTGTAACACAAGCGGGAACTGCAGCGTTTAAAAACATTACCTAGCATTATTACTGTAGCTTAGACGAGGTACTCTAGCATTTAAAAAATGTTACTGTAGCACTTTGCAAAAAAATGTATTTAGATACAGAATTACTGTAGTGGAAATAAAAAATGAAGGTCATGCTTTACACAGGGTGCACACTAGTTTTTAACTTAAAAGTAAAACTTTAAACTACTATTTATGCTACAATAAACACTATTCTTGCTAAAGGATGATTCATAATATTAAATTTATTGTTCATCTTATAGTAAAAATTTCAGCATTAACAATATTGTTCGGATTGTAATGAATTTTTTCCTATGAACAATGTTCATGTACCGTGTAATTTTCTTAATCTTAAACATGTTTTATATGCTAAAGTGAATTTATTTGGCCCTTTATCAAGTTGAAGTAATATTTTTTAACCTTGAAAACATTTTTCATATTTTTTTTTTTTTTGCAAATGATGAATTTAATCTTTACTAAACATTTCACAAATATAAATCTTTTTTGCCTCTGTTATAGAACATTAATAAAACTTACTAATTTGTGTATTATTTTAATAACTGGTTCGAAAATTCACGTTGTAAATAATAGTACGTAAAAAGATAATCCCTAAAATTTCTATAAATAATTATATATAAAAACCATATTATCAATTTGGCGACAAATATTCTTCAATAAATAATAGCCACAGTAATGCGTGTGCTTAATACTAGTATACATGATAGTCCAAAACTTACTTTCAGTTTTCCATACCATCTTATCTTCAACTAATTAGGTATTATTATACATCACATATCACATATGCATCATGATCACGTATAATTTACTTCTCAATCGTCTTATCTCATCGTAGAGTATACAACACAAGTGACATGCACGCAGCACGTCTCGTAAACGACAATTTAATTCTCAACCATTCTGTAATAGAAAATTATTTTATTTTCCTTCATTTGAAAGACCCACATCTTTATAAGGTGTTTCTGCTATCATTTCCTCAAATCTTTAAATTTGTTATTAAATCCCCCGAATCTAGTTATTTCAAAACTAGCACCTTCAATCATTGAAATTGTTATCCAATTCCCTCAATTTTTATAAGACGTTTCAAATTAAATTAATTCCTCCACGCAAGGTAGCACTAGTAAGATGCAAGATTAACGAGATCGGATAGCAATTTTAATGATTTTAAGGACTTGCTGCAAATTATTAAAGCTGCGAGGGGCTAAATGAGAAAAGAACAATAATTCCTCCCTGTGCGCTATAAAAGAGACCGCATCCATCAAACAAATCTAACGAGAGTCGGAAAAAGAAATCAAAAGATAGGAAGATGAAGAATCAAGAACAAGTAGAAGATCACAGAGTATCACGTGCCGGTTCCACTCTTCTCTGCGGCGACATTCTCGAATCCGTAATCTCGCACGTGCATACCTCGACCTCTCCCGCCTCCGAGAGTTTCCGCGCGTGGTGCCTCGCCGCCGCGCCTCCCTTCGCCGCCGCCTGAAACCCCTTCTCCTCCTCCACCTCCCACGTGCCTCCCTCGCATACGACCCCCCACTCCCGCCACGTGGGGCCCATCCCCCCGTCGCTCCCTCACGTGCCCTATCCGCTCCTCCCTCCAAAATCTCTCTACTCCCTCTCTCCCTCCCGCCTCTCCCTCTCCAATCACCCCTTCGGCTCCACGTGGATCCACCTTCCTCCCCCACGTGTCTCCCGCGTTGACCCAGTCGTCGCCCAAGTTGGGTCCTGCGTCGTCGTCGCCGGCGGCGCGTGCGACTTCGAGAACGTCGCACGTGCGGTCGAGGTTTTCAACCTCGCCGATCCCACCACGAGCTGGACCCTCTGCGACCAAATACCAGAGGACTTAGCCCGGTCATCTTCCGCCACGTGGCTCTCCTCCGCCACGTCGGCTAAGCTGCTGTACGTCCTCGACAAAGACTCCGGTGTCTTCAGTTCGTTCGATCAGTCAACAGGGAAGTGGTCTCGCACGTGCGAGCTGAAACCAGACCGCGCGACTCGTGTCTCTGCTATTGGATTCTCAAACGGAAGGCTTCTTCTTGTTGGATTATCGGGTTCGGATCCGGATCCGGTTAGCTTAAAGATATGGGAAGTGGGTTTCTGTTTGGATCTCATAAAATTTACGGAGATTGGGAGGATGCCGGAGGAGTTGGTCGAGGGGTTAGCGGGTTCGGGTTTCGGGTTGACTACTATCGGGTTCGGGTTGGTGGGGGACTACGGGTATTTTTACAACCCGGGAGATTTTAGACGCGGGGCGGTGTTTTGGGAAATTGACGGAGGGAAATGGGAGAGCGTGGAGATGCCTGATGAAGTTGATCAGGATCCGACGGCTAGGATTGTATTTGGGTGTGCTAGAGTGGAGCTTGCTGACTTGAAAAGGGTGCATGGGGTTAGGGTGTAACAGGATGTTCACTGGTTGGTTTGCTGCAAAAATAAAGTTCAGAAAAAAAAATTAACTGTTGGGAGGAAATCAGCTTCAAATCTCAGATAATGATAGATGTATGCTCAATGAAGGTTCAGTGTCTTGTTAAGTGTAAAAATTTGGTGATTTTACTATAAGCTAGATCATCAAATTAGCATTTTTGGTAGGACCCAGTTTATAATATGATACTTTTCTTTCATCGGCAATATTATCATATTTATGACATTAATATCAAAATAATTACCAATCTGGTTATTTTTCGATATAAATAATACAAGGCTAATTATTATTTTCATATAAAATAATGCCCAATTGACGTCAAATATTGATATTAATATCATAATATTGCTAGCGAACGAAAAGACATCATATTATAAACATGGTCCTACTAAAAATACCAATCGTTATAACATGAAAATATCTTAGTGTTAACCTCCCTTGGAAACTAACACGTGTCCCGCACAAAAGGCTAATCAAACTTGTGTATAACTCGGACGACTCGAGCTACCCATGTGGTTGACTCTATTGGCAGACAACCTGCGTAGCCAAGTAAAAAGGTAGTACTTGTCATCCAACCCAACCAATCACCTCTGCGAATAATCCACACTCGACCCTTTATATCAGTCGACAACTTGCGTAGCTGGCTAAAAAGATGGTGTTTGTTGGCCTTCAGCCGGACGACTGAAGAGGTGGTAGTTTTCTCGAATCCCGCGCTAACAGTTGTCTGTCCTTACATTAACTACTCTAACAAAGTCATCATTGCTCTAGTCTTTAAAGTCTTTAGGGCTTATCAGGCTCCTTCAGCACCAAGCGCTGCTGTCACTTGGCACTAACCACCTAGATGACCCATCTTCGCCAATGGCCGACACCTGTCAGTTGTCTGCCGAGTCAACTGTCTGCCTGGACTCGGCCCAAGTTATCTATCTGCCCTTCTGATCCTCTATAAAATATAGCCATGCAGTTTAAGGTAACTTTCTGGTTATTTGACACAATTTTGAGATTTTCATCATCTCACAATTTCCCTTTCAAGTTCGTATATTGACTTGACCGTTGGAGGAATAACTGGAGAACCCAACTCCGACCTCTAACAAGTTTTTTATGTGCAGGGGAGGATTGCAGGCTGCCGAACTTGCCATTCAAATAAGCTTGAGGACTTTAACACTCTTTTAATCCACTCGCAAACCCCCTGATTGATAACTGTCATCAACACCAATCTAATAATCTAGCCTTTCATTATATAAGAAAACACAAGTATGGATAACTCTCTTAATTATTTGGTGCATAAAATATATTTTTTCTGAGTTGAACTTTTTTTAAGTTTTCTTTTTTGCTCTCATCAAACTAGCCTTAACATTTTATAAATTGGAAGTTTATTTACCTTTTATAATCAAACCAAGCAATTGAAATATAAATTTGATTGCAATATTTATTTCCAGATCGGTGTTGATGAAACACCATTTTGTTTTATAGGTTTTTTTTATGAAAAAAGTTAAGGCCGTTTACTCCTGTATTTTGTGATAATATGCAAAACTTAAGAGTCCATGATTAGACATGTGATCTGATTAAGTTCTGCGCTGAGAGTCAACAAACCAAAAAACAAATCAGAGACAATAGTTTCTTGGATTTTTATTTTTCTCATATTAGTCTCTCGAACCTTTCATATTTTTTACTTAGTCCCCAAATTTTCATGTTTTGGAATTAGTCTCCTTAGGTATGTTGAAATTAGACGCTCAAATCTTCATATTTTGAAATTAGTTTCCTAAATTATTTAAATGTTTTGAAATCAGTCCCTCTTAGTAGTAGATTATAAGGTTGGAGATACTAGTTTCAGAATATCTATCAGATTTGGAAGACTAATTTCAAAATCTCAATATGTAGTAGATTAATTTCAAACACTTAGGGCCAGTATGAAAATGGGTTAGTAGAAGGATTAAAGAGGGTTAACCCCTCATTTAACCTCTGAAACAACAAAAACTCTGAACGGATATATTAACCCGCACATGACGATATCTTTGTAATGAGTTAAGTCGACAGGCTACAGCCAATATTGAACAATATAGCGTTTTCTATTACTTGTCATTTAAGAGATGGGTCTTGAACATTGATTTCTGTCGCCGCAGAGAAAGGAAGATCAGACCCGTCTTGGTCATAAGACTACACTATAATAATTAGATAGTTATCAAACAGTGATGTTAAATCGGTGGGTATGGATCATAATCCGGTCACCTATAAAAGGACGAACATATTTTACCAATTTAGCAATTACTAAATGGACCGGTCCCCCACCCCCCAAACACACATTTAATAAGCGGGTCAATCATTTATCCATTTAACTATAATAGCATTATATATATAAATTTTTGATATTCTTTTTATAAACTTTTAGTGGGCTATTTGCAAATTGGCAAAAAAAAGTATCAAACTTACTGTTGATGACTATGACCAAATAGTCAATCGGATCCAGGCTGGGATCGGTTCTGATGAACTGGATCGGTCCCCTCTGGGTCCTCGTCGGAACGGGGTAGGGGAGAGTGATGGAGGGGTCGTTCCCTTCTTCGACTTTATGTTAGGTTCTCGAACGGGGGCTTGATGTCCAAGCTGCACAGATAAGAAGAACCCGTAAGAGGGCAGGGATCGGTTCCCCAGTGGTTCCTCCGACGGTCAAGTTAGTGAAACTTGAGTGGGGAAGGGGAAGGTTAGGAACTGATATGATTCTTGAAGAGGCAACATGCATGCCCAGAGGATCTACGTGAGCTCCTCTGTATAGACGAAGAACCTTGGGTTCTTTTTCTTTTTTTCAGAGAGAGAGGGAGAAAAACTTAGCTTTTGCTTCTGTCCTCCTCTTTCTAGAGGTTCAGACCCCCGTATTTATCTCCGGTGTGGGGATCAATAGGTCACCTCCAACTCTGCATAGGTAGGTGGTGATAAATTACGGGCTAAGAGCCAAGTCATCCCTCGTTTTACATGTGTCGGCTGGTGGCTGGAGGGGAAGTCACTTCGGCACGGAGAGGGTGTCTCCGCATTTTTGGGGAAGTGATTGACAGCGTTGCAAAAGGCATGCTGAATCATCCATCTGTTTACAGGTGTCAGCTGGCGACTAGAGGAGATGTCACTTCGGCACGAGGGAGGGTGTCTCCGTATTTTTCCGGGAAGTGATTAAGAGTGTGGCAGAAGGCACGTAGGCAGGTGATAATTCTTAGAGACCATCATGCCAAAATATAGGTAAAGCTTGTCCGAGGTGGACTAAAATGCTGACATATGCTCCTGGGGGAGAGGCTTGAGGTAAGGGTCGAGTCCTCAACTTAGCCAACATCAATGAATGTCCTTCAAGTCGTCTCCGTTAGTTGCCAAGTGAATGGTCGAGTGTCCTTGGGGGTCGTCCTTGACAATATGATCGACTGATCTCGCCCTTCGCGTCGGCATGAAAGAATGTAGACTAGATATGTCGGCGGGTCGAGGCATTTGTTGGGCTTGGGTCACATAAGTGGGTTGAAGTCATTTTGCCAAGACTCTTATTGTATCATTTTATAAATACATGTATCTTAGGTGAATAAATACCATAACACTTTCAAAAAAGCCCTAACAATAAAAAAAATTATCTTTTCAAAAAGAAACAATAAAAATTACAAATATCTCCTTGTAAAATAGAAAATTACAAACAACAATTCCAAAACTATAAAAAAAACTTCAAAATTCTCAAAAACTGTAAAAACATCCTATAAATTCAAAACATACAAATATTACTCAAAGTTTAAAACTTTACAATGAACACCATAATTTTTTTGCATTTACAGAAAAAAAATTAAAAATTACAAAAATACCTTGAAAAACCAAATTTTTAAAAAAAACTGACATTCAAATCTAAAATATTTCAATAAAATTAGGGAAATACAAAACCCCCCCCCCCCCCCCCCCCCCCCAAAAAAAAATGTTTTAGAATTTACAAAAAACACCCTAAAATTTTGAAAATTTGACAAGAACACCCACAAAAATTGAAAACTTGAAGAAAAATCTTGAAATTTTCAAACCTAAAATAGAAAATTGAAATCTATGAACCACAAACAGGTCCCTAAATTCTTAGAATTTGTAAAAAAAATACCTAAACTTTCAGAGCTGCAATAAATACCCTCAAATATTTACAATTTATTAAAAAATATGTGAATATTTCAAATCTATAAATAGTACATTAAATTTCTTTAAATTACAATCAGCCCCTAAATTTTTAGAATTTGCAACAAAAACCCTAAACTTTCAAAGTTGCACTAAACACCCTCAATTATTCAAAATTTATAAAAACATCCATGAATATTTCGAATCTACAAATAGTACATTGAAATTCTTAGAATTACAATAGCCCCTGCAAATTTTTGATATGCAAATAACACCCTAATATTTTCAAAAGTTTGAAAAACTACCCTAAATGCAAAATTTTCTAGAAACTCTTTGAAAATGTTTAAACTTCAAACAATAAATTGAAAACCTAGGATTAAATACCCCTTGAAAATTTTAGAATTTACAAAAATACCCTAAAACTTTTAAAATTTATAATAAATACCCTAATAATTATGACATTTACAACGAAAAACCTAAAAAGGTAAAAAATTACAAAGAGTTGTTTTCTTATAATTACAATTTTAAGGGAGTTTTTAGCTAATTTTAAAACTTTTAACGTGTTTTCTAAAAAGTCAAAAAATTTGGGGGATGCTTGTAATTCCTAAATTTTCTTGTAGGTTTGAAATTATTATGGTATTTTTTTGTAAATCTAAAATTTATAAGGTGTTTTTTTATAACTTTTTAAAGTTTTTGGGAGGTCTTTTTACAAATTTGAAAATTTTAAGGGAGTTGTTTTTAATTCCTAGATTTTCTATATATTGCGTTCATTTTGAAAATTTTAGGTTTTTTTATAAATTTTGAATATTAAGGGTTTGTTTGTAATTTTTAAAACTTTTGGGGTGTTTTTTGCAAATTTTAAAATTTTCCTTAGTTGCATGTAATTTACAGAATTTGCACTATTTTTAAGTTATGATATTTTATGGGTGTGTTTTGAAAATTTAAGGATTATTGTTTATAATTTTTCAAACATTTTAGGTTGTTTTCACATTTTTTTAACACTATGAGGGTGTTTTTTGAAAATTTTAAATTACAAAGTACTGCTAAAA